GCACAAACAACAGCAAACTCCACATACAAACAGCAGAATCCATTTGACCTCCCTGATGGTGCATTGCTCTCGGGCAACAGTCTGATACTGTAGATCATGAATATTTACACTCTAAACTCTAAGCTCTAACAAACGTGTATGATAAATATGCTTCCCTGCGCAGCAGAGGCCGGTGAAAACACATTGCGGATGGGTTCATCCGTGTACGCCTGCAGGGCCGATCAGTGGGAATGCCTGATGGGAAAAGTTGTTGCCCGGCACATCCAGCTGTTTCAGAGACGTGCTGAGCACAGAGCCTGTAGCTTGTCAGCAACAACATAAAATTTTTTATTTTTTTTTTTAAATCCAAGCTCCAGTAACTCAACTGCACAGGCAAAGGCAATTTTGCAGTAAATTTACACAATTATCCTGCTTGAGTAATCAATGACTCTCGTAGCTGGCAGAAAAAAGTGATGGCCGCCAGATGTAAAGTCTGTCTGTGTGTGTGTGTGTGTGAGAACAGGTGTGACTGTACCCTTCTGCGCTACAGTGGAGCATCATTTCCCATAGCCTGCCAAGTTTGCAAATTGAAGTATGTGGAGGCTCAGGTAATATTGCTGCAATTTGAGATTTACTAGCAGTCTTGAGAATACAAAACAGTGTCATGTGCTCAGACAACTGCACATGTGATCGTGTACTGTACCACGGGAAAGTGACTTGTTGACACACATTCTATTAATTAATGCAGACGCAGTAATGCAAGTGATTAGTCCAACATAAATTTTGCAATAAATAAAAACAATAAAATATATACCGTTCTAAATTTCTTGTGCCCACTAAGGCTGCATCAAAACAGACTGAAAAAAAATATCATGACGATGGGAAATGTTGTTTTCTATTTTAATATATTTAAAAATGATATGAAATTGAAATTTTAGCATCATTACTCCAGTCTTCAGTGTCACATGATCCTTCAGAAATCATTCTAACATGCTGATTTGCTGCTCAAGAAATATTGTAAACTCACTTTTGATTTAATGTGTCCATGCTTAATAAAAGTATTTGGCATTAAAAAAAAAAATCAAATAAGTTAAATAAAAAATAAATAAATAAATAAAATAAAAAATCTTAGTGACCCCCAAATTTTGGAAAATAAATAAATACATTTATAATTCAAAATTTGACCTATATATTATAATGATACACTGTATATAAATTCATGTCTTCTATTTCAGTGAGTATTAAATCTATCCTATCTTAATCAGTATAAAATAAAATAAAATAAAATAAATATTACTGGCAACAAACATTTTGAACTATATATTCTAATTGTATTTATAAATTAATACTTACAATTCTGTGTCTTGTCTACCAAAGGCGGGCGTACACGGTGCGATTTTTGCTGTCCTACAAGCTCTCAGGCGATTTTTTTTCGCATGGTCGCGGCTTGTACCGAACCAGTTTGAATGAATGAATGAATGAATGAATACTTGCTGACAACAAACATTTTAAACTATATACATTTTCTGTATGTCAACTACCTCAATTAGCATTCTTAATTCAGCTTCAGTTTGTGCAAAATCAGTCAACTACAGACAAATGTTTGTAATGTATAGTGATATTATAAAAAAATATATAATTAAAAATAAATAAATAAATAAATAATACTAAATAAATATCTCTGGAACATTTTCAAGCTGTTTTCCCCTCAGTTTTATCTTTGCAAATATATTTAGGCATTGTCCAGTTTTTTGGAGTTTGCACTAGACTTTCTTCATCGCGTATGTGAGTGATATTATCTTGCAATGCCATTAAAGCTTCACTTGGACCACTCGTTCAAGCCAATGCAGATGAAGCTGCCAACTCCACCAATTCATCTTGTTAAAAACACACAAGTACACTCAAAGTTCCTGAGCTTCACGACCTCTGGCCAGAACTCATACCAGCCACCCCCAAGTCCACTGGTCCAGCTGACTTTTAAAAAATGCTGCCAGTTCCAGAAAAATTAATTACGAGGTTTATGCCAGCTTTTCCCCATGAGATCACGTAGCAGATAACAGATGACACACTGGGTTAGAGTTCCCTCAGATCTCATCCCAAAGTAAATGGCAACCAAGGTTAATTGGCTTCTCTGGACTTCCCAGAGGCTGATCGACGGTATCAAAATTGTTTTGCTTTTGTTAAGTGCGGAGGGTGATGGGTTTAATCAAGGCATTAAGTAAAAGAGATTTAGTCACCAGCAGTGATTTTGTCTCCGCTCCTGGCGCTCGACTGTCCACTGTGCATCCAATTAAAATCAATGCGAACTATAATTGCATTTTATAGTAATTGGGTGGTGCAAATATATTCAATCAACAGACTGGGACTTACATTGCGCCACCTAAAGCGTTCATCCACCTTACCTATAATAGCAAATGCACTTTTGGCACAATGCATCTGTGAATGCATTAAAAATGAACATGACACACAATTGAACTATTATTGGTTAACTCTCGTAAAAATTCATTTAGGTGTAGGTATTCTGTCTATTTTTCAGCTTCTCTTCAAGCCAAATATCCATGCAAAGAAGAGAGGGCAATTTATTTATTTTTATCTCCCTTTCCCTTTTATCTTTTTCTTCTTTTCTTCTTGCTTTAAGGGTTGAGGTGTTGATTAAAAACGCATCTGAAAACCCACTTACAGGTTAGCGTGGCTGCATTTTTTTACATGCTGCATTTTCAGGTTTAGAAAATCTGATATCCACTCATTGGGGGCGAATTGAATTTGGGCTCATCGATAATTCAATCTTCATAGGTTTTTTTTCTCCACGCGCTCTGTTTTCCTTTTATCTGACTCAGAGAAAGGAGCAGAACAAGTTAGTTATGTGAAATGTTAGCCTGTGTAGAGATGCTTCATCCACACATCTCTTGCACATTTGTAGTCTTACAGTATATATATATTTTTTGTAATACATTTTTTATATTTTAATGTAAAAAAAATATGAAATCATAAAAAGGTAAGTTATTTACTGACCACATGTTAAACAATCACAATTTTACACTACCCCGTCAAAGGTTTGCATTTTTTTAATGTTTTTGGACAAAGTCTCTTATGCTCTCCAAGCACAGGCGGAGAGTGAACTCCAGGGTAAGGCTAAAAGCAGTCAAATGTATTAAACATCATAAACCCGTCTTTTTAGGCAAGAACCAGACATGGGTGTCATGTAGGCTAATAAAATATGTTTAATGAAAGAGAACAGAAAGAGAACGCACGCGCACTCAACAAAACTGATGAGTTTCAGCGATGACTCATCTGAACGCCTCTGATTGGCCATTGCATTCCTAAGCTCAACTGAAATGTGTGTGATTGGTTAAAATGCGCAACACTGGAAAAACGCCTAAAAAGAAATACGGTGCAACATGAGCAGATCTTAATGACGCAATCGACAGTCTATTTATTTTCACTTTGTTAGCAACAAACGTAATAGATTTCATTTGCTTGTGCAGGAGCATTTTTGCCCCAAGTCCCCATGGCCAGAGGAAGGCTAATGTCCATAGCCTTGAAGGATAGCCAAAAATGTTAAGCAGCACAACGGTTTTCAACATTGATAATAATAAGAAATGTTTCTTTAGCAGCAAATCAGCATATTACATCGTGTCCTAACTAAATGCAATGCCGCGACACGCGATATAAGGTATCTTTTCCATGTTAATCAGAGTTTTTGTCCTAAAACAGCCGCAACGGCGACACGCAAAGTTTGTATTTTAGAAATGGCTTCTATTTCTGTGATGTCGCGGCTGGAACAACAACATACAAAGCAAAGCATAGGCCTACAGCAAGCCAGCAAATTCAAAGTTTTTAAGATCACAAGGAATCCTGTCCACACTTTAGACTGGTAGTCTAACTTCAGTCAAGTGTGTTCACATATTGTGAAGCCGCCTATAACAGAGGGCTTGTTTTGAAGGTGCGATCACTGTGATTGTCAGACAATCAGGTGTATCCCACCTTGAGAGGTGTTGTTTGGTTTTGTCTACAGCCTACCTGTTACAGCAGATGGCCAAGAGAAGTTGTTTCATTACCACTGTATCCTAAGGGTTCGCAATCGATTCGCTCTCTCTTTGTCCTTCTCCATCTTGGCTTATATTACTAGCAGTTCATTTGACACACAGGAAATAGAAGGTCAAACAGACTGCATTGTAGAAGCGCAATGTGCTCCGTTGTATACTGCACATTTCGCCAGGTTGTATTACATGGATATAGAAAAATAGCACACTATGCACAGTAAACATACTATACACTGCAGAAATAATAAGAATAGTATGGCAATCCACTAGGGCTAAAAAAATATGGGTAGTCTGCTGGCCTGGGGCCATTATGAGAGAGTTTTGCGACAGTTGACAGAAGTGTCTCATGTTACATATTTGTCAGTGCTATATCTGTAACATTTTTTGAACATGGACATATTTATTCAGCAAGGAACTTTTTTTTTTTAAATCAAAACTGACAACTGTTTTCAACATTGATAATAATAAGAAATGTTTCTTGAGCATCAAATCAGCATATTAGAAAGATTTTTGAAGGATCGTGTGATACTGAAGACTGGAGTAAAAAAGCTGAAAATTCAGTAAATTACTGTTTACAATACATTAAATTTTAAATGATTTAAATGTAATTATTTATAATTAAAATTATTTCACAATATTGTTTGTATTGCACTTTTGATTGATGAAAGAGTCTTATTTTTACCGGCACTAAACTTTTGAACGGTAGTGTACATGCATCTTTTTGATTTGCAAACCTGTAATTATACAAGTTATATTAAAAATACAATATACAATTCTCAATTTAATTGAATAATAATGTGAATTTTATAATATTATGTGCTAGAGCTGGTGAAGATTTTGGCCCGTCTTAAGAAGCATAAACAATCCTTATGTTGACCCTGAGTGCAGTATTCATAAATTGCCATACTTTTATTTCTGCATAAATATACCAAAACCATTGGTCATCTGCACTCATAAGCTCTTAGAAAGCTCCATTTATTAAATATAATTATGAAATGTATGTACACCATTCATTTACAGTAGTCATATAGAAAAAAAAACAGCCATAGAATTCATTCTCAATAGAAAGCAAGTGTTTTTTCTTTTTTTGTGTGTGTATTGTTTTTTTCTAGTCAGGAGATATAATGCACTTCAATAAGGACGAGATTTCGTTCCCGGGGCACGCTCAGTTGCGAGACCAGCTCGATTACGGTGGGAAAGAGAATTAAACTGCCTGAATCTGCCGGCCCATGGGAATTGGGATACACACAAATGACTCATATTCCATCCCTCAGCCGCCGCTGATATATTCTTATAGTCCTTTGATGGGTAATCCCAGCCTTTAGCGGCTCCTAGCACCAGTCAATAGTTTCAACATCAAATGTGGGGTTGTCGGATGCGGACGTCTTTAATCTTTTGTTTTTTTTTTGGACATGTTGAGCGATGATCGATCCTTTAAAAACAACATTTGGGAAGGTCTGCCGCTCTGCCACAAAACCATTCTCTCAGAACCCTCTCCGCTGGGGTTTCAGTCCATTAGCTTAAGCCCACTCTATATGCAGGCTCTGAGACAGACAGGTTTGAGCAGGCACACTGGATAAAGACAATTCAGAGTGATGCTTCAGCCCTCCTGCTGTGTTGTTTGCTTGGGAAGTGTGTGTGCTGTGCATGTATAACCTATTATTATGCCCGTAAAATAACAATATACAGCTCTGTCATCATCCAGGAGGCTGGCGCACGCTTACTTTCACGTAAGCTTGACTCTCTTCGTAGAAAATAAGCAAACAAACAAAAATGTCTCTGTTGTAATTTCTTGTGCCTGTTGGGTCATTGCTGGCCTCTGGCTGCTCAGCTTGCAGTGTAGATAATACAGTGCGGTGGGTTTGGTAGCATGTACACTGGCGGCAGGCTGTTCGATTAAATGCCAGGCACGAGATGGCGAGGTCAGATGTAGTATTCTTTGCTGTCGTGGTTGGGTTTGTGCAGGTCCAGTGCAGCCCGGTATGGAGGATGCTCCATGCTGGGTCGGTGCATCTTTCCGGTGATTACGGGGGGCGCTGGAGTCCGTCGGTGACGATACAGGAAGCGGATGATGAAGGCCAACGCACAGAGGGTGATGAACACCACTGCAGCCACTACTCCTGTTCATTAGATAAATTAAGAGGTGGCATGTAAAAATGAAAACATGCTAAATATGAATAAATTACACTGGTTCACTACTTTGAATGCAATGGTGTGGCTTTGTAAATGTATCTTGATCGCTCTACAGTGCAGTGCTGCAGTGGAACAAATCAGAACAGCATGAAATAAAACTAAACTAAAGATGTATGAGGCTGTTCATTTCTAACGATGGTTTATTACTTGTCAGATCTGAGTATTATTTTGAAAAGTTTTTCCCAGAGCACAATATCATGGGGATCTATACCTCCGAGTACTGCCAAGTCATTTTGATGAGCCTTTTTCAGTGGATATTTGCCTCGGTTTGTTTTTGCTGAGTCATCTGCAAGCAGAGAACGAGAGCGAGAGGAAGACAATGAACTGGCTTTTGTGATTCTTTTCAGCAGGCTGAAAAACACTGTCATTTTTGAGTCTCATGCAGTGTGGAAACTATTAAAAAGGATCATTTACCTGACCGTGTGTGTGTATCGCTCAAAGTGTTCGAGCTGGATACCGTCCCACAACTTGATGCTTCCAGGCGGCCGATAACAGTAACTAACGGGCTTTGGCTGTTTTGCAGGGCTGCCTTCAGAGGGGTAGCCTGATTAAACTGCACGGAGGACAAGCAGCCAATAAACCCTCTCAATCCAGCCTGAACCAGTTCCTTATCAGTAATGTCAATACCTGAAACAGGAAAAATAATTGAGCAACTGAACTTAAATGTGATGCGTGTAATATTTACATATATTAAAATATATTCTCCCATGCCAGGTTAATATGCAGAGACAATGACACTGCTATTCAAAAGTTTGGGGACAGCAAGATATTTTTTTTTTCAGTAGGATATTTTTGAAAGAAGTCTCTTATGCTCACCAAAGCTGCATTTATTTGATCAAGAATACAGTAAAAATGTTAGTACAATTTAAATTAACTGTTAATGTCATATAAAATGAAATTTATTTCTATGATAGCAAAGCTGAATTTTAAGCATCCATTACTCAAGTCTTCAGTGTCACATGATCCTTCAGAAATTGATTTTTTTAAAGATTTGATGATTAAAAAAAAAAGTCTTTACTGTCACTTTTGACCAATTTAATGCAAGCTTGCTGAATAAAAGTATTAATTTTTTTAAAAACAACTTTCTAAAACAAAATTTGAATGGTAATCTACTGTATAAATAAACCATTTCTATGTTTACTCTTCTGAGAAAAGAGTAACCAAAACAAGGCTCTGTTAGTGGCTCAACAAATGGCATGAGTTTGGAGTGAAATTAGCTGTTTGTCTGACTAATGGGAGACGAGGAGAGTAATTTGAGAGTAATTATGCATTTCACCTTTAAATGAATTCAAAGTCAACTGTTAAACTGTTTATGTAACCACTCCACAGCTTTAATTTTAAAAGGAGCCGACTGCAGAATCACAGTAACCTCTAATCTGCTTAATAACCTTTTTAAGAAGCTTCATTATTAGATTACTCAAGTCCCTTTTTTAGTGTCTACAAAGCCTTTCTAAAACAGAATAAATCAGCACATTCAGTGCCAGTTCCTTTTTTATTTTGCGTCTGTATGACTAATGAGTCTAAAAGGGGCTTGTTGTAGTTCTGTGAGTGCTTTATTGCTAATTTGTATTAAATGTTCACTCGCCTCTATCAAAGCACTGGGGTTCGTGCCACTTTCCGACCCTCCTTATTGCCTATCAGGTAAAAAGAAACAGTCTCCTAGGCAACACTGAGACATTCCATTTGGCTTTGACTTGGCAACTCACCTGTGACGGCGCTGTCAAAAGTGTGCCTCCCTACTCAGACAACAACCCACCCTGTCCTAACCTACCTGGATTCAAACACCTGACGCCACATCAGTGAAATAGAAATGTGTGAAACAGCACACAAGGAACATGAAGAAATGGAGTCCTCTTCAAAAGCCTGTCAGAAGCTCACCTTGGATTCTCCCCAGAATCACTGACCTCGCCGGGCTGAGAGCAGATCCAGGAGACAGGCTGTACTGCTGGGTTATCGTGTTGTCAATCTGGAAGGGGACAAATAATGGCAGATAATTTGGGAAATATTGATAATAGATTTGAATCGGTCACAGGAAAAAAAAACATCTCAGGTCGCTATGACACGCTTTTCATCAGATAAGTTATCAGATAAGAATAAAAGTCATCCGTTCTCATTCCTGTAGAGAGTCAAGTATAGGAGGTCAAGTAACACCCCTTTAAAAATCAGATACTGACCACTGTGTTAAAACTCACCTGGACAAGGAGCTCCTGTCCCTTTCGATTGATTTTGACCCAGTGGAACCGTCCGTCTGCTAGACTGGATGACACTGGGCTGAACGTTTCTGTTTGTTTTTCTTTGTTCAACAAGTATCGTATTTGCAGGCTGCCTGGGAAATCAAAGTAAAAGCTATTGACTTAAAAGTCATAAGGTATATACATGTACCTTATGTACTTGTCATGTACATAAGGTACATGACAAGGAGAAATAATGTTTTAAATTTATACAATACAAATTCCAACAGGGTGTTCAAGACCCCAGTGTAAACTGTTTTTGTATCACTGTGATCTTTTTCATGGCTACTAACCAAAGAAATAAACGAATGTACAATAAATATTGAGTTGAAATCGTTCAGTTAAGTAAGAATAAATGATGGTATGTTGATACAAGAAATATTACACTAGAATAAATATGTAAGAAATTGTCTGATTAGGACAACGTTTGATCATGTTTAGTGATCATAATAAAATATTGATAAATATAAAAAAAGACTCTAACACTAGTGCTTTCTATTCCTTTTCTATTCTATCTACTTGCTTTCTTTTTTATTTATTATAAAAAATAGCCCTCTAACACTAGCGTTTTCTATTCTTTATTAAAAAAGACCCTCAAACACTAACGTTCTCTATTCTTTTCTATTATATCTACTTGTTTTCTTTTTATTTATTATAAAAAATGACCCTCTAACACTAGCGTTCGCTATTCTTTTTCTATTCTATCTGCTTCATTATCTATCTATCTATCTATCTATCTATAGTGGGGAAAATATTTATTTGATCCCCTGCTGATTTTGTAAGTTTGCCCACTTATAAAGAAATGAAGGGTCTGTAATTTTATGGTAGGTTTATTTTAACGTATAGAGACAGAATACCAACCAAAAAATCGAGAAAAAAACACATTATATAAAGGTTAGAAATTGATTTGCATTTCAGTGAGTGAAATAAGTATTTGATCCCCAAGCAAACCATGACTTAGTACTTGGTGCAGAAACCCTTGTTGGCAAGCAGAGTGTCACGTTTATGGCCTCTCCTCCCCGTGTTTCTTTTCCGTTTTTGAAAGCTTTTTGTTTTCCCAGTTTCTCCCCGCGATTATGGAAATCGGCACTTGTTTCGCCGCCTTAGCTCGCAGAGATCTCCGCTTCGTGGAGTACGCTTGGGAATTCTGCGGGCTCGCCGCACAGACGACTGCGGGCTCGTACAGCGTTAGACGACGCCACGCTCAACTCGCTGTTCTGGATCAGGGCTAATTACCATCGCCCCGTGGACCTCCCAGACACCACTGGACTAAGCTGGAGGGAAGGGATCCTCCGGTGTCTGGAGAGCGTCTGGCCCCGATCCAGAACCAGCTCGCCGTCAAGCCCGCCGGCCGCCGCTGACTCTGCGCTCTTGGACATGGCGCTACCTCTAGTGTTCTCGGCTCCTATCCTCACCCCAGAATCGGCTCCAGAAAGTTTTCCTTCGTCTCCGCTGGTCCCGTCCAGCTCTCCATCATCCCCTGAGTTTCCTTCGTCTCCGCTGGTCCCGTCTAGCCCTCCTTCGTCTCCTGATTCCCCCGAGTTAGCCAGCCTTGCACCTCCAGAGCGCCCTCCAGAGTCAGCTCCTCCAGAGCGCCCTCCAGTGCCCGCTCCTCCAGAGCGCCCTCCAGTGTCAGCTCCTCCAGAGCGCCCTC